CCTGTAGGCAGCCTCAAGGTAACCTGTAGGCAGCCTCAAGGCAGCCTCAAGGTAACCTGTAGGTACCAGTATATACAGGCGTGTTAGTGGCAGGAATAAATGGTATACAAGTGCGAGGAATAATTTAGTTGAATTTTTCATTTATCTAGTGGCCTCGACGGGGACAGGAAGCCAGTGGCTAGTCAACCCCCCCCCCCCCCCCCATTTTTCTTGATAATTTTTTCCAACTGGATTTTGAACTGCAGTAATGTCTCTGAAATTATGGCTTCGGCAGGTAGGCAGTTTCACGGTTTTTAACCCTATGGGTGAAAAAGCATCTACTGTTATCATACAGTGTGACTGTTGATCCTTGCGTTATATTTGACCGTTTAAAGACGTGGACTAGAAGAGTAGCCTCCATTTTGTTCCGTTCTAATTTGACAAAGTTTCAGTGGGATCCGCCCTGTCATGCCTGGTTTGTCCTGTGGCCCTCAGTCTTTCCTGGTATGAGAGTTGATTTGGTTCTGGAATGATTTTTTTCCAAAATTTGAAATGTTTGAAATTTCAAAGTTGGAAAAAATTGTTGAAATTTTTCCAAAGCAGATATGTCCTCCTGAAGACGAGGTGTCCATGCTTAGATACAGTAGTCCAAATGTGGTGGCACCAGATATTTGTACAGTTAAATAATCAATTATTTTTCCTTATAAAGTCAAAGGGTCATTTGACTAATCCTATGGTTTGGTTGGCTTCTTTTACTGCTCCCACTTGTTGTGCAACTTTCAATGACTGGTGTATTCCGATGGTCTTGTTCTTCTTCAATCTGCTGCAAGGTAGTAGTATTGTTATGATACAGTAGTTGTGAGCTCCATTATTATACCCTACATGTAAGATCTTGTAAATGTAAAAGAATAGTACTCAGAACACTACCTTGGGTACACCTTCCTATTGTGGAAAAGAGGCAGAGTGGCACCAAGCCTCATTCTAAAGGAACGACTAGAGAGGAAGGTTTATAGGAAGAGACGGAGATTACCACGAAGTCCAAAAGAACGGAGTTGGGAACTGAACATGGTATCTCCAGGTGATGCATTATACCTTTTCCAGGTAAAAAAAGGACAGCAACAATGGAGGTCTTCGCAGCAAAAGCAATACGAATACAGACCACCAAGTTCACCAAGACATCAGTCGTGCTGCGACACTTGTGAAAGCCAAATTGAGAAGGGGAGAGGTGGTGATAGTGTTCCAAAAACCACATCAGACTGATATTGACCGTACATTCAAAGAATTTGCAGACTCAACTCCTAAGGGCAATGGATCGGAAGTCCTTAGGGGATATCCCCAACAGACTTTGGTTTCTAAATAGGAAGAACAACTGCCCTGAGGTTCTTCAGGACTGGCGATGACTTCCAGATACGGTTATACAGATTCAGTAAATACTGAAACACACAAGGAGGGAGATGGCAGAGCATCTCATAATGAATGTCATCTGAGCCCGCTGCCGTAGAACCGCAGAGGGCCAGGGCAGACTGAAGTTTGGAGAGAGAGACGGGATCGTTATAAGGAAGCCGGAGATGAATGTGATAATCTAAGGTACAAGATTCAAGAAGGGGTTTACGAATAAGGAAAGATGGAGGAAGATGAGAACCGGAGCTAACAGTCAAAAAGTGGGAACCCACAATAGTACCACGAAGGTGAAGGACTGGCGAAACATCTGGAACAAATCTATCCGCTAACTTGCGAATTTTTTTCCAGATCTGGGGCAGAGGAGTATTGGTCGTAATGGTGAAGACAGGATTTTCAACTCTCACATTTAGCCATACGGATGGTCCTACAGGCCACCGCACTCGCCTTCCAAAACAAAATAAAAGAATCAGCAATCTGACGGCTTCACTGTTTCTTCCAGGCTGCAAGCTCACAGCAGACAGCCGAGCACAGTCTGCATTCCACCAGGGAACACACTTCCGTGTGCCCCAGGAGGTAGAGCAAGGAATAGAGCGGAGGGCAGCGTCTAATATGGTGTCATGAAAAAGGAGGAAGACTCGAGGGAGAGGCAGAGCGGAGAGGTTTGAAAGAGTAGCATGAAGGGTGAATAGATTCCAGTCAGCCATAGATTCACTGCCACCTCTGGGCAGAGAGAGGAGGGTGAAATGTGACCAGTATGGGGAAATTGTAACTGTTATGGAGGTCATTAAGAACCAGCCATGTGAACTCTAAATAAATAGAGGACGAGCAGAGAGAAAGATCAAGACAGGAGAGGGTGCGAGTGCGGGAGTCCACATCAGTGGGTTCACCAGAATTCAGAAGAGACAGGGAAGAAAAAGAGGACAAACGGTTCGAGAAGGCGGCCTCGGGTGTTTGTCAGAGGATCACCCCTCTTTTGCCAACAGGTTGAAATCACCCAATAGGAGCACAGGCTCTGGTAAGGAGTCCAACAGGTGCTTAAGGTCAGAAAGAGAAAGTGGGATATTAGGGGGGAGATAAATGGAACAGACAGTATTCCATTTACTCAAAAAGATACAGGCCACAGAACATTAAGTGACAAAAAAAGTAGGGGGACAAAGGTAATATCAGTACAAATCAAGAGAGCAGTAGAGTTATGGGCCCCAGCAAAAGCTGAGGGGGAGAGGCGGGAGAGAAAGGAGTACCCACGAAAGTGACCAGGACAGGCACCAAGCATCGGCTCCCGGAAATAGACACAAAGTGGTGAAAACTGTGTTATCAGATGTTTGGAGTTCTTGGAAGTTGGCATAAAATCCACGAATATTCCATTGAAGAATAGACATTGTCAAAAATTGAGAGAACAGAAACAGAGTACAAGGAAGAAATAAAGGCAAAGAACAACACAGCATAATAAGGAAGATCAGAAGGAAGTATACTAAGGAAGATCATAATCAGGGTCAGTGAAATCGGGGTTATGGGACTTAGGTAAAGCTAGCAAGGACAAAGGAGTCAAGGAGGCGGAAGTGTGGACCAGAAGCAGATGGTCAGAGTTCGGAGTAGGGGGAGGCATCGGAGAGGGGCGGTCAAGGGAATTAGGGGGAGGGGGAACAGAAAAAGGAGGGCACACTTCATCAAGGAGCAGCAACCGAGAGAGAATCGAGGACCAATGGAACCTCCATAGCTTGGACAGGGGGACTCGACTACCGAAATGGGAGGGGATGCAGGGATAGAGTCGAAATCAGAAGGTGGGGAAGAGAGCGATACCTTCTTGCCTGCCGGGAGGAAGGAGAGGCTTACGTTTCTGACTCAAAAGAGACAGGCGTACAAGCAACAGCGTACTGGGCAACAGCCTCCATAGTCTCACAGGAGAACGGGAACAATCAACACAAAGATTGCTTGGAGGATGATGGACAACAGGCAGGACAGATAGGCAGTGAGGAGGGCCAAATGACAGAGGGGAGAGCTGAGAAAAAGGATTGGGGGGAGAAGGGGAAAGAGGGTACAGGAGACTGGGAAGGAAGGAAGGAAGGAAACACTAGATGGAGAACCAAAAGGAAAACCCTCTGGCTCGAAACGTAAAGGAGCAAATGAGGAGGTGGTGGAGGTGTCTGGGTCCAAGGCTTGGAAATGGTTGCGGGACTGAGAAAGTGGGAGAGGGCGAGAAGTGGAACGCAACACGTGAGCATAAGACATGCCAGTGAAAGAGGGAAGACGGCGTACTTGGCGTCTTGCCACAGGAAAAGATAAGCGATAGCGGTGTTTCAAATTGAGGCTGGCTTCCTCAAATTTGTAGTGCATACATGCGCAAGAGAAGATAGGGTGGGCGTCACCACAATTGATGCAGTGAGCTTGGGAAGAAGAGCACTTTGTCTTAGAGTGACCTGAGTCTCCACACAAGGGGCATACACACACCTCACTTGTGCATTTGAAGGCACCATGCCCAAATTTCCAGCACTTATTGCAGAGCATTGGAGGAAGAATGTACTCCTGACCAGAACATCTGGCACTGGCAAGAATTATGAAAGACGGAAGGGACCTGCTATCAAATGTGATCTTTACGACTGGAAGAGGCTGAGGACGACGACCAAGAGGGAGTCGAGTGAACATATCAACCTGGAGGATAGAATGGCCTTGGGCTTCAAGGATATGTTTAATATCTTTGTGGCAGTCTTTCAGGTCCCTAACACCAGTCTCAACATGGTGAGAGAGAAGAACTGTACCAATGCTGGCATTTAACCGGGCATTTTTGGAGATCCGAATAGGGGTCTCCCTAATGCAGAACAACAAGACCAAGCGAGCAGCTGTGGGGTTAAAGGTGACAATGGTATCCACCGAATCAACCAGGTGTTAATGGAGGGGGAAAACCATCAAGACGTGTTGAATCAACATGGTTAAGATGAAAATATTTAGTCCATGTAGCAGGACTAAACAAAGCTTGAAACAAAGTAGAACTGGAAAGAATCGTGTGAGTGCATCTAAGGAAGGAATGGTGCCGAGCATCCCCAGTAAGATAAAGGGTAAAAGGTGCAGTTGTCATAATGAGAGAAGGAGCCGCTCCAAATGATGAGGTGGTCATCACTGGGGGCTTGGGGCTCAACCCCACCACAGAGGTGGGAGGGGAGCAGAGAAGGGTAGTTGGGAGGGTCATAGACATAGATAGACAGATAGACGATAGATTACTGGAACTAAACCTCACGACACTGGAAGACAGAAGAGTTAAGGGAGACATGATCACTACCTATAAAATTCTCAGAGGAATTGACAGGGTAGATAAAGATAAACTGTTTAGCACGGGTGGTACACAAACATGAGGACATAGGTGGAAGTTTTGTACCGAAATGAGCCACAGGGACGTTAGAAAAAACTTTTTCAGTATCAGAATAGTTAACAGATGTAATACATTAAGTAGTGTTGTGGTGGAGGCTGACTCCATACACAGTTTCAAATGCAGATATGATAGAGCCCAGTAGGCTCAGGAATCTGTATACAGGACCAAAAAGTTGAAGCTCAACCCCCGCAAGCACAACTAGGTGAGTACATATACCAGTCCTTCCTGGCCTAGTATATGAGCTCCAGTAATATCCAAAGCTATGACAAATGTATCCTTTCCATAATAAAAAGTCTTCCTCAATGTTGCAATCATATGTAGAAATTGATGGGACCTGTATCACAGTAGTTTATGTCCTCGGCTTAAATTTAAGGGACCCAGGTTCAATCCCGAGGCAAGATGGAAGTGGTTGGGCACGTTTCTTTTCACTTAATACTACTGTTCACCTAGTGGTAAATAGGTACCCGAGAGTTAGGCAACTGTTGTGGGTTGCATCTTCGGGAAGGTGAATATAGCTGATTTATGGTGGCCTTGAAAAACCTAAAGTACTGTACGGGCTTCCTGTCCTCAACACCAGTTAACCATAACTGAAGAGCTGTACTGTAGACTAACGACTGACCTTCCCCAGGATACATGGTCAAGTTTGGATGTGTTAATAACACGGTGCAGGATGTTGGTGTGGGAGATGTGTGTGGTGGTGGTGGTAGCTGCTGTGGTGGTGGCGGCTCAAGACAACCAGACCTTCCTAGTGCAGCTGAAGCAAGGTGCCATTCTCTGCTCCAGGGACAAGGCTATTGATGGGAAAATATTCTACAGTTTTAGGGGAATCCCATATGCCCAGCCACCAGTAGGAGATCTCAGGTTTAAGGTGAGATGTTTTATTATCAACAGACTTAGAATTGCTAGTCGCTTCACAAGTAAGGTGGTCAATCTGTCAGCTTCTTTGGTAGTCACCTTTGTCTATCATTTTCTATGGTAAACTGCAAGGAATTGCATAATAAGAGCGGACCTAAATGTATATACACAACAAGGATGGACCAGTTCTTAGAGCAGACCAAATTGTGCATGTAGGTCTCACGACTTCCCAATACCTTTTAGACAGTTGCTGGCTGAGTGGTTACAGTACTGGCCTGCCGGAGACATGGAGACCCTGACTAACCAGGTTCGAACCCTTTAATAATACAGCTTCAGAAAGTATTATTATATACGAAAGTACTTAAGGAAATTCCTGTCTTAATCCTTCCTTTGTGGTCTAACATTGTCATGTTCATCATATGTTAATTTCTTTGTGATTTACATACACACACACACACTATATATATACTCTGTACATTATATAAATACAGTATATACAGTACAACCCTGTATATACAGTATATATATGTTTTTTCATTTATATGAAAATATTTATTTGAAAATTACAAAACATGTTGAAGCAATTACTGTACTGTACATAGTAAATGCCTAGATATGACAGTATGCGACATGACTCTGAGAACCACACCTATTTGAACTCCTGTACCAGCCAGGTTATATACTCTGATTTATTGAGTTTCCCCCTTAAGTCATTGACTGACCTCGACTACGATGCAACCCATAACTGGTACCTAACTCAGAGATACCTATTTACTGCTAGGTGAACAACGGCATCAGGTGTAAGGTCTCCTTAAGACGTTTCCCAGGATGCAACCCACAACATCTGCCTACTCCTTGGGTGCCTACTGATACACGAGCTCCATAAACGGTCAGAAGATTAGCAAATGCTTTGTAACATTGATAAATACCACACCTTGCATGTGGGGCACAATAATGCTCTTGTCAACTATCACATCAGTAATATTACCTTGCAGCAGATTAATAAAGAAAAGGATCTAGGAGTCAGGATTTACCAGTCACTGAGTGTTTACCTGAATTTGTCTGAGGGCCACCATCTATCTAGTGGCCACAGTGGGGACAGGAAGCTGCCGGCTTGTCAAAGGTCCCCCCATTTTTCCTGAAAAATTTTCCAATTGTATTTTAAACTACAGTGGGAGCTACATTAACAAAAAAGGCCAATCAAACCCTAGGAATATTTAAACGAACTTTTGACTTCAAGGAAAAGAAAGTACTGTATTAATTATTCAACTGTACAAGTCTCTGGTATGCCCCCATCTGGACAAATATATCCAAGCATGGAGACCTTATCTTCAGGACATATCTGCTTCGGAGAAATTTAAACACCGGGCAACAATAATCATTATGGAACCAAGTCAACTCTCATACCAGCAACAGTTGAGGGCCACATGACTAACAACACTGCAGACCAGACATGATGGTGCGGATATCATCAAAACTTTTAAAATACTGAACAATTTGGAGGATATTGATCCAGACAACGTCTTCAAAAGCTTTTTCACCCACAGGGTTATAAACCCATGGTATCTCTTCCCTGCCAAAACCATAAATGCCAAGATATTACTGCAGTTCAAAATCCAGCTGGAAAATTCATCAAGAAAAGTTTGGGGGACCTTTGACAAGCCGCAGGTTTTCTTTCCCCATCGAGGCCACTAATGGACCTCGGGTAAATTCAGGCAAATAAAGAGGCAACAAGTGTAGAGAAGTAAGTAATTATCAAAAGTAGGCACCAAGACGAGAAGGTCATGTAGCACCACAAGTGTAGAGAAATGTATCCAAACATCTCATCCTGCCTGGGAATCTAACCAGGGACCATTGAGTTGTGAGCATGATGCACTGACCACTGAGCTACACAAACTATGACTCAAGTGACAAGTTTTGTCTAACAACAGAGTGCAAGCTGAACACCGAAGGAAACTTCTACTGTCTTTTTAATTACTTAAAGTGTGTGATAGCTCCAGTTTATTTACATCTTATTATTATCTTATTATTATTTACATCTTATTATTATTACATCTTATTATTATCTTATTATTATCATCCTCATTAATATTGTTCTCTGTGTGTATTCTCTGAGCTACTAAAGATAATTTTATATTATATTCTGATTAGTTCAGAAATATCCAAGGTAAAAGCCCAATTCTTGACAGGAGCCTGTGGCAGCGTCGGGGTGGACCGGTACGCGGGACGGACGAACATTGCAGCCTGTCTGTCCCCAACTAGACAGTAATGCTCTCTTGGAGGGCCAAGCGCTGGTCCGGGGCGAGGAAGACTGCCTCTACCTCAATGTCTACACCCCACATGTAAACAACTGTATTCTCATTGATTATCTACTAGTAGAAGATAACTGAAAAAATATGTAGGTTATACAAAATCTAATGAATTTTAAAGCTGTGAATGAATAAATAAAAATTAGATGAAAGGGTGTTATCCATTGGCGACCTTTGCAGTATATGCTGACTGGTTTCCCAGTGATGGTTTGGATCCACGGGGGTGCTTTCAGCATGGGAGGAGCAGACGAATACTCTCCCAGTGTCCTGTTGACAAGGGACGTGATACTGGTCACCCTTCAGTATCGTCTTGGAACCTTAGGTAAGTTAACACCCACAATTAAGCAACAGAGCAAGATATAGAGCAAAATTAGTCACCGTCTCATCAAACACAAAATAAAAGATTGAGAAAGTATACTTGGAGGTGTATTTACCACTAGATGAAAGCAATAATGAAACAATACAAAAATTTTAAGTACGAAGCTTCCTTTCACTGTGGAGAGAAGAGTAGGCTTGATCATGACATACAAAGTACTGAGGGGGAGTAACAAAGCAGGAGAGATACTATTTCACATAGGAAAAATATGAACATTAGGACCCAGTGGCAGTGAAGTCCTTAAATAACATACAAGGATATATTAGAAAGAACCTGTCAGAAGAGTGAAGAAGTGTAATGAACTATGGAATTATGTAGTGGAAGCAATCTCCATATATGGACCCAAAGACAGATCTGACTGAACCCATCTGGTTCACAAAAAAAGTACTGTACAGCAGTCAAACTTTCAGGGGAAGTAAATAAGTGCAGTACAGTATTTGATACACAATGGATCCCCTAAAATCCATATCCCCATTTTCTGGTTACTTCATACACATGTCATTTATATTAATCTTGCAATGCTAAATCTAATTGGTCAATGGCATGTAATCTCTCCAACAGTAACTTAGTTATAATATTATATTTTGAAGTCCTATAATATATTATTCATTCTATAGTTTTTTATAATACCCATTACATCCTTAAGCTGCATTCTGTAGGCATTATAATTGACTACAGGAGGAGTGACTGTAATTGTTGTCAACCTTTAATATTCACTTTTGGCATAAGGCTGTTAACGTGGCAAACTGTGTCTAGCCAAATACATTTTTTGTCATTGATTAGGATTACTTTTAACTGTATGTTAACACATTTAAAGTTGCCTGTACAGTACAGTAATTTCATAATGACTGGTTTTCATGACACCTACTGTGAGAACCGTCAATTGTTGTAGAAGCTGAATTGCATGTAATCACTCGAGTAACAGAACACGTACATGTTCTGCATGTGAACAGTATGTTCTGTATGTATAAATGGGAGAGTTGTGTAAAACCCTTGTTTGTCTCGGAGAGCCTGCAGGATCCAAGTAAGTCCAGTAGAACTTCTGGTTTCAACTCTTTTGACCATGACGTAGCTCAGTCGATTAAGGCAGCATCTGGGATGATCTCGGACGTAGGTTCGAATCCTCGTCACGGCCCTTGTGGATTTGTTTACTCGAGTAACAGCTTCTACGCAATGATAAGGTCATTTTAAAAGTCAACAATGGTTGAAGGGGGCATAATAGAGGGAATATTAATAAGGTGTTAAATATATCAACACAAGATAGAACACTAAACAACACATACAAATTGCAAAAGTTTAGATTCAGAAAAGACCTGGGTAAATACGGGTTTGGAAATAAGCTTATTGGTTTCTGGAAAAACGATTACTGTACCAGATAACAGGCATTGCACCAAAGGATTGTTTCATGTGAAGGTTAGACATTTATATGAATTATTGTGATTGTATATCAATAGCAGCTGCCTTACATGAGCCATTAGGTCTTTTGCAGTGTCATATATTATCATGTTCCCCACTACCAAGGACTCTAAGGTAATAGTGTGTTTAGGCTTCTTGTCAACGGAGGACTCGGTGCTGCCTGGTAACATGGGACTGAAGGACCAGGCCTTGGCCCTCCGCTGGGTTCAGGACAATATCCGTGACCTTGGCGGTGACCCAGACAAAGTCACCATCTTTGGTCAGAGTGCCGGGGCTGCTGCTGCTCATTTGCATGTATTATCACCACATTCTAGAGGTATGTTCTGTATCTTTCTGTATCCTGTCGCCATGCTCCAGAGTTTAAGCACTATATTTTCCTATACCCTGTCACCACACCAAAGAGATAAGTTGTATGATGTCTTCTATCATTATCATTATGTTCCTATCATATAAATGATTTAAAATACTGAGGATCCCAGAAGTACAGCAGGGTTTGTTCTCGACTCACAAAAACGAGTCCTGTGTTTTTGTGCTTTCATTGCCAGGGCTGTTCAGGAGAGCCATTCTACAATCTGGATCATCGTTGAGCCCTTGGGCCATACGAACTGACCACAAACAAGTGGCTACGACCATCAGTAAGGTGTTCAACTGCTCAGGTGTGGAGGTAGAACCCACAGCCCTCAACTCTACAGCACTTCTCCTCTGCCTTCAGAATCAGACGCTCAGCGACCTAGTGGCCATTCCCTCCGCGTTTGTGGTAAGTATAACAGTGCTGCTCCTTGTCCACCCTCAGATGCTCAGTAACTCTTTACATGCAGTTACTATTCCTTCCATTAGGATAGTTGACTAATGTGTGGATTTTTACAGATATGGCTCAACACTCCGTCAGTAATGACACCTCGGGTGGACGGGGACTTCCTGCCTGACCATCCCGCTGCCCTGCTAAAATCCAGGAAATACAACAGGGTCGATCTTATTACCGGAGTTACCCAACATGAGGGCGCCCTGGCTGCCACACGTTAGTACTGTACAGTATTTACTACAATAAAATTCACAGGATCTGTGATGAGGATTCGAACCTATGCACTGGGTACTCCCAGATGTACGCTCTAAACGTGCATGCATCAGAATACCCAGCACATAGGTTCGAATCCTCATCACAGCTCCTGTGGATTTTCTCATTGATATACAGTACTGCGATAATGTGATTTCTCTGTGTATTTACAGTACTATAAAGATGTTACTAGTGGCTAATTGCACAAGCACATTTGATTTAGGGATGTATTACTTAAGTTACAACTTTTCTATTATATGTTGCCAAGCAAGTTCCAGAGCTGAGTGGTATGAGTTACTAAGAAATATAAAATTAATTAATTATATCAATGGAAGAGAGAAGAGGAAAGATATGATCACAACACAAAAATTCTCAGATAAATAGACATTGCAGACAAGGGCAGGTTGTTTACCAAATATAGGCCACAAGCAAAAGGATACCTATGTAAACATTCACCATTTCAACTTCTGTTTATGATTTATTCCTGACCTTTCACACAGTGATATAAAATTGCCTTTGCTCTCTGGAGCCTAGGCAGGTGCAGGTCCCAGACCTCAGGCTATTTTGGTTTTTAGAGGTAAGAGATTTTTATAAAGATGAGTCCTCAACCCAATACTACTATCATGCAGACAATTCTTACCAAGTACATGGCATTTCTATCTTATGCATTACATAAGGCCAAAAATTGACGTACTAGAAAATGCAAGCAACTCGCAAAAGTGACGTACTGTCCGCTTTCTGTTTTGGGTCTTCTGGTAGGTTAGATGACACTTTATATTGACTGTTTTCTGGACATTGGGAAACCTTAGGAGGACAGGCTGGCAAGAAATGCGAATGTGAGCGCATCACAACCTTGTTCCACAGATGCACTCTATAGAATTATGGTTCCAAAATTTTTCTATCAAACGTGTACAATATTCACTGTGATGCCCATGTGTGTTCATTTTCGACTTTTCTTCCACCTGAATATTCATTTTACAGAGTCATATTTTAATGCCAGATCCTTTCAAATATGAAAGGCAGCATGACGGAGGCAAAAGCAGTGAATGTCACCCTGAGACAAGGGCACAGAGCAACCATTAAACTCGCACAAGGAGAGCTGGAACTCGGAAAACGCATCTATAGGTCCACCAAGCCCCGACAGGGTTTTCCAGGGCCATTGCTTCCTGTGCCTCTCTGAGGGGGGCCAGGTTCTGGCTCGTGGTCCCTGGTAGGCTGTACTCTATTGACTAAAGCCCTTCTTGAGGTTATCTTGAGATGATTTCGGGGCTTTTTAGTGTCCCCGCGGCCCGGTCCTCGACCAGGCCTCCACCCCCAGGAAGCAGCCCGTGACAGCTGACTAGCACCAAGGTACCTATTTTACTGCTATGTAACAGGGGGCATAGGGTGAAAGAAACTATGCCCATTGTTTCTCGCCGGCACCTGGGATCGAACCCAGGACCACAGGATCACAAGTCCGCTCGGCCAACCGGCCCTGGTCTAATATATCCCATATTAGCCCAATAGCTCTAGGGAGCCGAAGGAGCTCCCCACAGAAATGTATGCCTCTGTGCAGTTTTTGTCTTACAAGTTAAAAATAATGATAAAAACCTTACTAAGAAACCTATTAACACAGCAGTATTCTGCTAACCTATGATATTGAGGGTTTGTAGAATGTAGGTCAAGAGCTAGCTGTAAGTTCACCTAATATCCTCATCTCACCATATGGTTAGTCATGCACGGAATCAAATAAAAGCTAAAGCTACATTCTTTCCTCCCCACAAACAGCCGTTCTGATGAATGAGGAAGTAAGAGAATCCCTGTCACAAGATTTTAGCGATGTCAGTCCCGTCGTGATGAACTTCGAAGGCGAGGACTCCAGCCTTTACCTTGCTCAGCGGGCCTTCCAGCAGTACCTCGGTGATCTCAGCTTCAACTCTACATCTCCCAAGGCTCTGGTTCAGGTCAGATCTAGACAGATGCAGACAGCCAAGCAGACAGATATAGAGCTAAAATATAGATCCATTGATCAACACGATTCATGCATATGGAGTAATAAAATAAAATAAAAAAATTAACTAAGCCATAAAGATATTAAAAAACGTTCTCTTAATTTGGTATTTTTTCAACATGGCTGAAAACTTCTTGCTGTGCTCTAAAAAAAAAATATAAATGTTACCCCTACATATTGTACACTCTGCAGGTCCTTTCCTAAATGTTTTTGGTGACTTGTAGCCCAGAGTCAGTACAGTCTCCTTACAATCCAGGTTCTTGGGCAGGACAAGACATCTGGGCACTTTTCCGCACACTTGATGCCTCTGTTCATTTTGCTGTAACCATAGTTACCTAGGAGTCACATGACTGTTGGTAGTTGCATCCTGGGGAAGGCTAGTCCCCAAGTTGAGTAGAAGGACCTCGGTAAACAAAACACACTTCTTGTCTCTAACAACAGGAAACCTTAAACAAAATATATAAACGAAGATGTTACCCATACAGTGACCACCATACCGAGCTTAACTCATTACAGCAATCACCACACAGAGCCTAATTCATTACAGCGATCATCACACTGAGCCTAACTCATTATAGCGAACACCACATCGAACCTAACTCATTACAGCAAACACCAAACCAAGCCTAACTCAACACACATTTGATGCTCTTTCCTGAGCAGATTCCATAACACTTAATTGGAAAATTATAATTATAATAAAACATTGCTAAAAGAAATAGAACACGTAGTGATTGTAGACTACTGCATATGTAAAAATGTGGATAGTGTTACTGTGGTGATGGTGTATATTTGTCCTTAGCTCGAGTTTTTTATTTTTTTAGAGGCCTCTCCAAGGCCTAATTAATTAGTATTAGGCCTAGGAGAAATTAGAATATTCTTACTGTTTCCTCAGGTCTTTAATCGTAGCAATATTTTCAAAAGTTGACTATTTTTTGGGTGTAACAGTCTATATATAGTCCTCATATGTACCATAATTGTCAAGGATAGGTTGAATCTTTGACAAAAATATACCCCTTAATGTCCTTACATGCACAGCTTTTCGGGGACCGAGGCTTCAACATGGCGCACGAGGAGACTGCCCGCCTGCACGCCCGTGCCACTTCGCTCGGCAACAGAGTCTTCGCCTACGTCCTCCAGCATTGTGGCCAGTTCAGCGTCACGGACCAATATGGTACCTGTCTCTCTGCTCACTGTAAGTAAAAGAACTTTATGCATCTCGTGCATGATATGGTGTTAGATGTAGTGCATGTCTCGTTCATGATAATGTTAGATGTAGTGCACATCTCATTGTGTTGGTGTTAGATGTAGTGCACGTGTCCTCCGTTACACTGCTAGATGTAGTGCACGTGTCCTCCGTTACACTGCTAGATGTAGTGCACGTGTCCTCCGTTACACTGCTAGATGTAGTGCACGTGTCCTCCGTTACACTGCTAGATGTAGTGCACGTGTCCTCCGTTACACTGGAAAAAGGTGACACCCCTAGGGTCAACACTTGCAGCAGAGGAGCTCCAGCATATTTCAACAATCCTAAGTATTGTAGTACAGGTTGATGGTAGTGAGTGGTGTCCCAGAGAACATAAAGGTATAGTGCTCTTGAAAAATAGGTGAGATAACAGGAAAGTGCTAAGGGAAGTGAAAAATCGGATGAGAAAAAGTTGCCCTAGTGTTTACAGTGCAGAGAAGAACATTCAAGATGGCCACTGGCAAGGGGAAAAACAAAACAGAGCTTGATTTTGAGGGATTCAATGAAGAAAGCATTGATATTAGTAGTCTACATAACAAGTTGGTAAATTTAGATACTATAGTGAACTCTCATGTAGAAATAATTAGTAAATTGAAAGAAAGTAATGACCATTTGAATAGCAAAGTTTTATATCTTGAGGGTTTAGTGAAAGACTTGCGCAAGGATAAGAATCAATTGGAAACAAATTGCAAAGACATGGAAGAAGAAAATAAACTCTTAAAAATAGCTTTGGAAGAAGTTAAAGTAAATTTAAACATAAATGACTACAATAGGTTAGGCAAGGAAATTCAACAGGAGAAACAGCTTTTGTCAGCACAGATGGAGGAAGTTACACAGGGAATAGAACAGTGCAAGAAAGATATGCAACTCACTTATGCACAAGTGGCCAAGGAGAAGGAAAAAATAGAAGAAGCAGTAAAGGAAGTCAAACACTGCAGAAACCAAGATAAAACAAACATTAGGCTAGAAGTGAGGAAAGAATTGGCATCTAACCCGAAGTTGGTGCAAAACACAGTTGATCGGAGTAAGTCCCTGATCATTTTTGGCTGCAAAGAAAAGGCGATAACATCTAGGTCAGAAAGAGCTGTAGAAGAAGCTAAAGTAGTAGATAAAATTGTTGGCCTCGTGGAAGGTCTTACAAACAGAGAGAATGTGTGCGACTACAGGAGAATAGGCAGGTACGTAAAAGGGAAAGATCGACCTTTGAGGATCACCCTAAACGGTGCCAAACAGATGGAAGAAGTACTAAGAAATGCTAGAAAATTGCAAAGGGATGAGGATGGGAAAGGGTGGTCGTTAAGACGAGATCTTTCAAAAGAAGATAGAGAGAAGCTGAAACTGAACCTCGCCGAGGCAAAACATTTAAATGAGAGCAGGAATGAAGAAGAAATAAATTCTTTTTTCTACAAAGTGATAGGGGTAGGCAAACCAGTAAAGTGGTACATAAAGGCAAACCAACAAAATCAATAGAGAGAGGGGGAGTGAAGAATAAGGAGAGGGGAAACAAGTTCCTGAAGATTGCATACACCAACATAGATGGAGTGAGATCGAAGATACTGGAGTTAAGTGATGTAATACAGCTGCAGACACCAGACATTGTTGCACTCACGGAGACAAAACTTGAAGATGTAATTTTAAATGAGGTCATATTCCCAAGGGGCTACTCAATTTGGAGACGAGACAGAAAAATTAGGAAAGGCGGTGGCGTTGCTGTGCTGGTAAAAGAACACCTAAAGGTGAAGGAAATAATGACTGCCAATCCACAAGAAGTTGACATAATAGCACTAGAGATCTGCTATGAGGATGATAAACTAATGATGATAAATGCATATAGTCCACCGCCAAGCAGCACATGGTCAAAGGAGGAGCTAGATAGTAAACGTGAAGGTCTTATAACAATAATGAGAGAGATTATAGCGAGAGCGGATAACGATAGATCACGACTGTTGATAGTCGGTGACTTCAACTTGAAATCCATAGACTGGGAAGCATATGAAGCTAAAACAGAAGATTTTTGGACCTGTAAATTTGTAGACCTCATCCTGGAAACATTCTTGTATCAACATGTTAAACAAGCTACGAGGATGAGGGAAGGGGACGTTCCCTCCATGCTAGATTTGATATTTACCAGGAAGGAGGAAGAGATATTTGACATTCAGTACCTTCCTCCCTTGGGTAAAAGTGACCATGTCTTTTTGGGAATAAAGTATGCAATGCGTTATAAGCTGGAAGAAAATAAGGAGGTTGAAGCAGTTGAAAAACCAGACTTCAGGAGAGGACATTATGGTGACCTTAGAATTTTTTTAGTGAGTATAATTGGACAGACTTGATGCTAGGCAAGGAAGTGAATGAGATATATGGCAAGTTTTGTGAAATATATGATAAAGGCACAAAAAAATTTATACCAAAACAGAGATGCAGAACTAGGAAACAGGATTGGTTCAATAGAAATTGCGAGAGGGCTAGAGACCGAAAGACACAAAAATGGAATCAATACAGGAAGAGGCCGAACCCCCAAACATACCAGCGATACAAAGATGCGAGAAACAACTACACGGCAGTGAGGAGAGAGGCAGAAAGAAATTTTGAAAAAGGGATTGCGGACAAATGTAAAACAGAACCAGGTCTATTCTATAAATTCATAAACAACAAATTGCAGGTAAAGGATAATATTCAGAGGTTGAAAATGGGAAATAGATTCACGGAAGATGAAAAGGAAATGTGTGAAACACTAAACGAAAAGTTCCAAAGTGTGTTTGTACAAAATGAAATCTTTAGGGAACCAGATACAATAAGAATTCCAGAGAACAACATAGAACACATAGAGGTGTCTAGAGACGAAGTGGAAAAAATGCTCAAGGAGCTCGGTAAGAACAAAGCAGCTGGCCCAGATGGCGTTTCACCATGGGTTCTGAGAGAATGTGCATCTGAGCTCAGCATTCCACTTCACCTGATCTTTCAGGCATCCCTGTGTACAGGAATCGTAGCAGATGGGTGGAAACAGGCTAACATAGTTCCAATCTACAAAAGTGGCAGCAGGGAAGACCCCCTCAATTATAGACCTGTATCATTGACAAGTGTAATAGTGAAAGTATTGGAAAAACTAATCAAAACTAAATGGGTAGAACACCTAGAGAGAAATGATATAATATCAGACAGACAGTATGGTTTTCGATCTGGAAGATCCTGTGTATCGAATTTACTCAGTTTCTATGATCGAGCCACAGAGATATTACAGGAAAGAGATGGTTGGGTTGACTGCATCTATCTGGACCTAAAAAAGGCTTTCGACAGAGTTCCACATAAGAGGTTGTTCTGGAAACTGGAAAATATTGGAGGGGTGACAGGTAAGCTTCTATCATGGATGAAAAATTTTCTGACTGATAGAAAAATGAGGGCAGTAATCAGAGGCAATGTATCAGAATGGAGAAATGTCACAAGTGGAGTACCACAGGGTTCAGTTCTTGCACCAGTGATGTTTATTGTGTACATAAATGATCTACCAGTTGGTATTCAGAATTATATGAACATGTTTGCTGATGATGCTAAGATAATAGGAAGGATAAGAAATTTAGATGACTGTCATGCCCTTCAAGAAGACCTGGACAAAATAAGTATATGGAGCACCACTTGGCAAATGGAATTTAATGTTAATAAATGTCATGTTATGGAATGTGGAATAGGAGAACATAGACCCCACACAACCTATATATTATGTGAGAAATCTTTAAAGAATTCTGATAAAGAAAGAGATCTAGGAGTGGTTCTAGATAGAAAACTATCACCTGAGGACCACATAAAGAATATTGTGCAAGGAGCCTATGCTATGCTTTCTAACTTCAGAATTGCATTTAAATACATGGATGGCGATATACTAAAGAAATTGTTCATGACTTTTGTTAGGCCAAAGCTAGAATATGCAGCTGTTGTGTGGTGCCCATATCTTAAGAAGCACATCAACAAACTGGAAAAGGTGCAAAGACATGCTACTAAGTGGCTCCCAGAACTGAAGGGCAAGAGCTACGAGGAGAGGTTAGAAGCATTAAATATGCCAAAACTAGAAGACAGAAGAAAAAGAGGTGATATGATTACTACATACAAAATAGTTACAGGAATTGATAAAATCGACAGGGAAGACTTCCTGAGACCTGGAATTTCAAGAACAAGAGGTCATAGATTTAAACTAGCTAAACACAGATGCCGAAGAAATATAAGAAAATTCACCTTCGCAAATAGAGTGGTAGACGGTTGGAACAAGTTAAGTGAGAAGGTGGTGGAGGCCAAGACCGTCAGTAGTTTCAAAGCGTTATATGACAAAGAGTGCTGGGAAGACGGGACACCACGAGCGTAGCTCTCATCCTGTAACTACACTTAGGTAATTACACTTAGGTAATTATACTGCTAGATGTAGTGCACGTGTCGACCGTTACACTGCTAGATGTAGTGCACGTGTCCTCCGTTACACTGCTAGATGTAGTGCACGTGTCCTCCGTTACACTGCTAGATGTAGTGCACGTGTCCTCCGTTACACTGCTAGATGTAGTGCATGTGTCCTCCGTTACACTGCTAGATGTAGCGCACGTGTCCTCCGTTACACTGCTAGATGTAGTGCACATGTCGACCGTTACACTGCAAGATGTAGCGCACGTGTCGTATGTTACACTGCTAGATGTAGTGCACGTGTCCTCCGTTACACTGCTAGATGTAGTGCACGTGTCCTCCGTTACACTGCTAGATGTAGTGCATGTGTCCTCCGTTACACTGCTAGATGTAGCGCACGTGTCGACCGTTACACATCCGAAGGTAACAACACAACCCATTTTTAATGGAATCGCCAAATCCGTTAAAAATGCGACCTATTAGTAACAATTTAAGCCTCCTAACATTGAAAGTTTTCCTGTATCGCCCTCGATAGGTCAGATAGGTTGCCTGACTTCTACATTTCTGATTAGGTATAACAGGTGCATTTTTATCAGAATTGTAGATTTGATACAAAAAGGCTTAACAGAGTACAAAATAGTCATGACAATAGCAGGATATAATTGTAGCAATTTACCATTGAAGGCAATTAAGGTAAACACCTATAAGCTTTTCATACAAATAATTATCCTTCAAGTGATAATTGTTTTAATTATTGACAGCTGCAGGAGGGCCTTTGACGTTGAAATAGTGACAAGGAAAGAATTAGGGTATGTACTTGGCTCTGATTATACATTTTTGATGTTACGTACAGTATGTGGTGTTATATGTGGTGATAAATGTGATGTTACATTATGTGATACTACAATGTGTGGTGCTGCATGTGGTGTTACATTATATACAAGAGTTCTTACATTCTTGTACAGCCACCATACAGCCACTAGCACACATAGCATTTCAGGCAGGTCCTTAACCCTAATTTTCCCCCAGAATACGATCCGCCAAATTGTTTAACCAGGTACCCATTCACTGCTGGGTGAACAGAGGTTACAGTTAAGGATTGGTGCCTAGTCAATCCTCCCCGGCCAGGATACAAACCCTGACCAAAGCGCTCGCACAACGCCAGAGGAGTGTGTTACCACTTCGCCACAGGGACTGTAAATAATTACATTTACATAATTATGGGGTACAATGTGTGGAGTTACATTGTATGGTACTACAATGTGTGGTGCTACAATGTGTGGTGTTACATTGTATGATGCTACAATGTGTGGTGTTACATTGTATGGTGCTACAATGTGTGGTGCTACAATGAGTGGTGTTACATTGTATGGTGCTACAATGTGTGGTGTTACATTATGTGGTGCTACAATGTGTGGTGATACATTGTATGATGCTACAATGTGTGGTGTTACATTGTATGGTGCTACAATGTGTGGTGCTACAATGAGTGGTGTTACATTGTATGGTGCTACAATGTGTGGTGTTACATTATGTGGTGCTACAATGTGTGGTGTTACATTGTATGGTGCTACAATGTGTGGTGTTACATTGTATGGTGCTACAATGTGTGGTGTTACAATGTGTGGTGCTACATTATGTGGTGCTACAATGTGTGGTGTTACATTGTATGGTGCTACAATGTGTGGTGTTACAATGTGTGGTGTTACATTATGTGGTGCTACAATGTGTGGTGTTACATTGTATAGTGCTACATTGTATGGTGCTACAATGTGTGGTGTTACATTATGTGGTGCTACAATGTGTGGTGTTACATTGTATGGTGCTACAATGTGTGGTGTTACATTATGTGGTGCTACAATGTGTGGTGTTACAATGTGTGGTGTTACATTGTATGGTGCTACAATGTGTGATGTTACAATGTGTGGTGTTACATTATGTGGTGCTACAATGTGTGGTGTTACATTATGTGGTGCTACAATGTGTGGTGTTACATTATGTGGTGCTACAATGTGTGATGTTACAATGTGTGGTGATACAATGTGTGGTGTTACATTGTATGGTGCTACAATGTGTGGTGCTACAATGTGTGGTGCTACAATGTGTGATGCTACAATGTGTGGTGTTACATTATGTGGTGCTACAATGTGTGGTGTTACAATGTGTGGTGTTACATTATGTGGTGCTACAATATGTGGTGTTACAATGTGTGGTGTTACATTATGTGGTGCTACAATGTGTGGTGATACAATGTGTGGTGTTACATGTGTGGTGCTACAATGTGTGGTGTTACATTATGTGGTGCTACAATGTGTGGTGCTACAATGTGTGGTGTTACATTATGTGGTGCTACAATGTGTGGTGCTACAATGTGTGGTGTTACATTATGTGGTGCTACAATGTGTGGTGTTACATTATGTGGTGCTACAATGTGTGGTGCTACAATGTGTGGTGTTACATTATGTGGTGCTACAATGTGTGGTGTTACAATGTGTGGTGTTACATTATGTGGTGCTACAATGTGTGGTGATACAATGTGTGGTGTTACATTATGTGGTGCTACAATGTGTGGTGTTACATTATGTGGTGCTACAATGTGTGGTGTTACATTATGTGGTGCTACAATGTGTGGTGCTACAATGTGTGGTGTTACATTGTGTGGTGCTACAATGTGTGGTGTTACATTATGTGGTGCTACAATGTGTGGTGTTACAATGTGTGGTGTTACAATGTGTGGTGCTACAATGTGTGGTGTTACAATGTGTGGTGTTACAATGTGTGGTGCTACAATGTGTGGTGTTACATTATGTGGTGCTACAATGTGTGGTGTTACAATGTGTGGTGTTACATTATGTGGTGCTACAATGTGTGGTGTTACAATGTGTGGTGTTACATTATGTGGTGCTACAATGTGTGGTGTTACATTATGTGGTGCTACAATGTGTGGTGTTACATTATGTGGTGCTACAATGTGTGGTGATACATTATGTGGTGTGTGGTGTTACATTATGTGGTGCTACAATGTGTGGTGTTACATGTGTGGTGTTACAATATGTGGTGCTACTAATGTGTGGTGCTACAATGTGTGGTGTTACAATGTGTGGTGCTACAATGTGTGGTGTTACAATGTGTGGTGTTACAATGTGTGGTGCTACAATGTGGTGCTACAATGTGTGGTGTTACAATGTGTGGTGTTACAATGTGTGGTGTTACAATGTGTGGTGTTACAATGTGTGGTGCTACAATGTGTGGTGCTACAATGTGTGGTGTTACATTGTATGGTGCTACAATGTGTGGTGTTACAATGTGTGGTGCTACAATGTGTGGTGTTACAATGTGTGGTGATACAATGTGTGGTGTTACAATGTGTGGTGTTACAATGTGTGGTGCTACAATGTGGTGCTACGATGTGTGGTGTTACAATGTGTGGTGTTACAATGTGGTGTTACAATGTGTGGTGCTACAATGTTTGGTGCTACAATGTGTGGTGCTACAATGTATGGTGTTACATTGTATGGTGCTACAATGTGTGGTGTTACATTGTATAGTGCTACAATGTGTGGTGTTACAATGTGTGGTGTTACAATGTGTGGTGCTACAATGTGTGGTGTCACAATGTGTAGTGTTACATTATGTGGTGCTACAATGTGTGGTGTTACATTGTATGGTGCTACAATGTGTGGTGTTACAATGTGTGGTGCTACAATGTGTGGTGTCACAATGTGTAGTGTTACATTATGTGGTGCTACAATGTGTGGTGTTACATTGTATGGTGCTACAATGTGTGGTGTTACATTGTATAGTGCTACAATGTTTGGTGTTACATTGTATAGTGCTACAATGTGTGGTGTTATAATGTGTGGTGTTATAATGTGTGGTGCTACAATGTGTGGTGTTACATTGTATAGTGCTACAATGTTTGGTGTTACATTGTATAGTGCTACAATGTGTGGTGTTATAATGTGTGGTGCTACAATGTGTGGTGTTACAATGTGTGGTGCTACAATGTGTAGTGTTACATTATGTGGTGTAACAATGTGTGGTGTTACAATGTGTGGTGTTACATTATGTGGTGCTACAATGTGTAGTGTTACATTATGTGGTGCTACAATGTGTAGTGTTACATTATGTGGTGCTACAATGTGTGGTGCTGAAAACATGTGATATTACAATACAGTACATGCACTGTGAGGCAGGGGTGAGCCACGCGGACGACCTGCAGTACCTGTTTGACCGGGGCGCCTCGCTTCCACCTCTGGAGGAGTTGATGGATCTCCAGGTTCGTCACTTGATGGTCTCCATGTGGACCAACTTCGCTGCTAAGGGGTAAGTTACCTTTGCGGCCTGTATGGCTTGCAAGTTATACCTCTCATCGTTCACCTAAAAGTAATCCAGCATAAAATGTATTTTTGCATGCAAGTTAAAGAATTTGTGATATTATTATAGATGTTATACTGAAAGGGTGACTTTTATGGTATAATAGTAACTAGTCTTGTGCATAGATTTATGCGCTTAAACATATTCGATTAGCTAAAATTCTCGTAGCAAGCCCTGAATATTCACTACATCTTTCATTAATATAATCAAAATAACACATTTATATCAGAAGAACCTAACTTATATTTAATTTTACTTAGAGTGTAAGATATCAAATCAAAAGAAACTGTTAACTGTTAAATGTTAAAGTAAAAATCAAGTATCATGACTGTATACAGTATAGACCAAAGAAATGCAAAGCTGCTTTCTTCCACCAGGAACCCGACCCCAGACAACTCTCTGGGGATAAGGTGGAAGCCAACATCCTCTCTCAAGCTGTCCTACCTTGCTCTGGCTCCTACCCCCGTCATGAGTACTGAAAAGCAAGTTGAGGTTAGTGCTGTGTTGCTAACGTGCATGCTCAGTGTGTTCGTTATCAATTGTTTCAAAGGTGTGAGTGAAACACCATAATGGGAATTTTTATTTTTATTTTAAATTTTAAGTTAATATTAATGAAAGAAATAAAATGTTGCAAAAATGTTGGAGAGTGTCCTGTGCTCATTGAAAGAGAGAGCGCAGGAGTACTTAGGTACTTAGTACCCAGGTACTTAGGCGCATGCACCTAAGTACCTGGGCCAGGCACAGCGCCAAGCCCCCCCCCCATCCCCAAGACAGAACAATAGACATGGCGGGTTACACTTTTTCCTTCTGAAAATTCTGCATCTTTTGACCCGCTTATTTCTCATGCTCACTAATATTGTTTCACACACCACGCATGATCTGGCTACAGCTGTCACTCCTGTTTTCAAATATAGCTTGTAGTGTATAAGTTCAGCTGATTTAGAGAAAGGTCTACATTAGGCAACAAAAATCATTCCAGAACTAAGTCAACTCTCATAGCAGGAAATGTTGAGGGCCACAGGGTTAACAGCACTGCAAACCAGACATGACAGGGCTGATCTCATTGAAACTTTTAAAATATTATACAATTTGGAGGATATTCATCCAGACTTCTTCAAAAGGTCAGATGCAACACAAGCAAGGAGCAAAGGTTTCAAGCTCAGCAAGCCACAATGTAGGACAGAAAACAAGATATGCTTTTTCACACATAGGGTTATAAACTCATAGAACCGCCTACACGCTGAAGCTGTAAGTGCCAAAACTCCGTTGAACATTAAAATCCAACTGAAAAAAATCATCAGGGCAAATGGGGAGAGGACCCTTGACAAGCCACCAACTTCCTGTCCTCGTCGAGGCCACTAGAGTGTTAGTGGCTCTCAGGTAAATTCAGGTACTGTATATGGGTACTGTATTTATGTATATTATAATGTGACTTTACTGCAGGCTCGTGAGTTTTGGACGAGTCTTCCAACCCGAGAGAACCTGATCCTGTACCAGGAGGAGTTCAACAAAGCAAAGAAGCCTGAGCCAAGGCACTCCGAACCATGGCATCGGCCGGAGTACTTCCACCAGCCCGCCACCTTCCTCACCTGGTATTTGCGACAACATCCAACTTTAATGCATAGATATAATATGAATCCTCTTGAAAGATTTTGGTTGTAGATTGAGTAACAGCTACACTACTGCACCATGGAACTCCTTCAATTCTCTCAAGATCTGCTCAGTATAAAGATGAATTCAGTATGAAGATGAAAGATGACTCCCCAAGACATCTTTCATACTACAGTACAGTATATTGTTTTGAAGTATTTGTGCATTAATAATATACAGTAAAAACAATGAAACATGAAAAGTCACATGTTAACTTGTGAATTGCTATAGTTTTCTCTTCATTCATATAGCTTACTGTTATTCCCTTGAATATTATAGGTAACCATATACAGTACTCAAACAATTTATGTATACATACTGTATCTGCACCAGTTTGTGTCCTATAAAGCAAGGATACAACACAACTGATCAGTCAAGTATAATGTACTGAAAACTACAAACATGTTATTACATTTTGCAACCTACAATGTTGTAATTAAATCACAGCAGATGTTATTAAATAACGTGTTCATAGATATGCAATCCTTCCCAATTAGTGCTTAGCTTTTTGTATATGATTTTTGTTAATCTTTTTCTCAAATTCAGTCCTGAATATAGTTCAGGACAAAAGTAGACTCTCAGTGTATATACTGTAAACTGAGAATTGGTGTACACCTGAAATACTATACATTAAAATTTAAGAATTGCTAACATTTCCAGATATGAAGCCTAGGTATAGTACCTTATAGGCCATATTTAAAATATATATGCATTGTATTCTTGGTGTTAGTTCTAATAATCATGACTCTCAGGCCATTTTCACAATTTGAGTTTGCAATCTCAGTACAGTACAATACAGTATATAGTACAGTGTCTGTTTTGCTTAGCTGATATCTGGTACATCTGGTCTTTTTTCTTGTTTGGGAACCCTTCAATTGTCAGCATTAAACTTCATTTAATAATTTATAGTTCATGTTATAGTGTGTTTAGCTCTTCCTATGATGCTAATGCATCACAAATGGTCAGTGCAGTTGGTTTACAACTGTAAGGTCCCGAGTTCAATTCCTGTGGCAGGACGGAGACGTTTATGCATGGTTCCCTTTCATTTGCAGCCTCTGGTACCCTTATTTACAGGCAACTTTTGGGGTGCATCCTGGAGGTGGTCAATTATTAGCCTCGGAGGACCTCAATGATTACTAGACTTTCTATTCCTGGGAATAGAAATTGGGAAACAATGTATTACCTTGTCAATTTAAGAATTTGAATGTTAACATCAAATTTATGAAAGTTGCTCATCATTATGATTCCTAAATAATATTTGTATATGATGAACAATAGAGGTCCCAAGACTGAGCCCTGGGGCATTCCACTCGCAACAGTTCCCAACTCTCTTACCTCATTCCAGTTATGCTGACTCTCTGTTTCTTGTGCAATAACCATGCCCTGATCCAGTTTATGAGTTTGCCTCCAATAGCATGTATCTCAAGAATACTGGGGACATTTGACAAGCCCTGGCTCCCTGTCCCCACCAAGGCCACTAGGGATGGTGGCCCTCAGGTAAATATTAATATCTCACAAGGCACATCGTCAAAAGTTTATATATTCTTTTCCACACTGTCAACTGCTTCACCTGAATAATTTTGCAATTCTTCACAAATGAACCAGCTGAAGTTTAATGAAGCACCAGAATACCAGCAGCCCAAGATGAAAAGTTAGCTAAAGGTAAAGAATTATCAAATCAAATGGACAACCAAGTAATTATCAAAAGAAAGCACCAAGCCAGGAAGACTATCAATGTTGCGAAATATTCAAAACATCATATGTATCACTCATGACACCAGCATGAGAACAAAAATGTATAAGATGAATGACACCAAAGGCATTGGATTCATCAAAAGATTCTATTGAGAGACCAGATGGACAAGGTTAAAACATGGTTGGAAAAACATCTCCAAAGAGAGATGATAGCTTAGGAGGTACAGTACTTAAAGAAAAAATATCAAGCTATTAGCCGACTTAAGAGTTGCCAACCTAAGCCTGATTAGTCACTGTGAGGAGCCTCATCGGTCTTCCTAAGGCACATGTAGTAGTACAGGCCAGTCCATCACCATCATTCATGGCAACAAACCTGTCATTCTTCACAGCCATAGACCTGTTTATCACATTACTATTGACAGCCATAGATTTGTCAACCATTCATAGCTGCGGACTCATAAATCACCATCGCCAATTACATCCACGGACTTGCCAACCACCACCATCATTCGCACCCAAGGACTTGCCAATCGCCACCATCATTCACACTACACGGACTTGCCAATCACCATGCAAGACTCAACCAAGAGTCGGACTTTAAATAATAATTGTCCTCTCGAGTGTAAATAATAAAGCAAGAAGGATTTCTTTTTTTTTAATTAATGCACTGATTACTGATAAACATATTCTATACATATAATCTGTTTACTAACAAAAACAAAAGTACAATTAGATCCAACTAAAATCTGAAAGAAAATAAAAATAGCTTTGTAAGTAGTCGCTGCAGTCACTATAACGCAATACTCTAAATAATAATAACCTAAACATTCTAAGTACTTTGTAAAACACATTATCAAATAATGTGGTATCAAAAGTGGCCATTAACATCCGTTTTTGTTCTCTGTACATCACGATGGTGATGGCAGCAACTACAGTGTAGGGATGGTAGTGATGGTAGTACTGTAACACCACCATAGTGATGGTAGTACTGTAACAACACCATAGTGATGGTAGTACTGTAGCTACACCATAATAATACAGTAGTCATAACTACACTGCTTCTTTGGACATCTCACAAAACATCTCATTCGCTTAAAGCATTAAAGATGAAGTTTACAAAAGTGCTGTCATTAGATTCTTGTAGAAGTAAATAACTAAAGATATTTGCCTTTAGCTATACTGTATACTAATGCAAGAAATAGGAAAAGGAATTCTTCATACCCTTTAGCAAAGGCAAAACCTGGCAATCAAAAATTAAAAAGATACAAATTGAAATGTCTTCATTATATTGCAATTTTACTTCTTCTAACATTATACTTTAATCTTTATTTATTATACCAATGGACTGCACAGTTGGTCAAATCTAGTTCTTTAATTTATGCATATTTATATCATCTCTGGTAATAAATTACAATACACACCATTTATATTCCAATTTTATTACTGCAAAAACCTAATATTTATCCATTTTTCATACGAATCAAACAAAAAATTAAGACAAACATTAAATGCTGAGAAAACCTGACCATCTTGAACCACTACTCGAGCCTTTAGACAGGTAGTGTACCGTCGTGGATCTTGAAGGGTGCTCTGTGCCTTCCCGGCCCCTAGGTGATGACCAGAATACTGTAATGTTCTCCTTACTTCCTGCTACAGTACACCAGCTGGTGTCTTAACCCAAGCCACAACCACAGGAACCAAAATCATTTTATGGCAAAGTTATTAGATGGTAACATTAAGGAAACCCAAAGTAAAAACATTATCAAAATTACACATAATTACCATATTATAAACAATACATTATCCTATTTTCACTTCATTTTTTTATTCTCATTAAACATGAAGAGAGAGGGAGGCGAGAGAAAGGGAGGGGGTGGGATTATTTAGGCAAAATAAAATTAGGTTACTGTACATTAGGTTTGATAAGATTAAATTAAGGATAGGTTTAATTAGCACTGATTAATTTGCTTAAAACAACTCTAAGCTGGCAAAGCATTTTGTTTTCAACCTTTGCCTTTTAAGAAAATATAAAAGTATTTCAGGAAGACAGGCATGAACCAAGGAAATGGTGATATTACCATCTAACTGGATACTGTACTACATAATAATTTTTTTACCCAATTTCAAGTAATTTTTATCAAAATAATTTATTACCATTAAAAAGGTAGGTTTAGTCAGCCATCTTCCTTCCTAAAGACAAATGTGTGGTGCAGAATTTTAAATGATCATGTATTTGTTTTGAAAAACAGCAATATTATTACAATTCCTGATAACTAATGAAAAAAGCATCAAAATAGGCTATCTAAGTTACCTTAATTATAAATGCATTCCAACTACTGTACTGTAACATGAAAACTAAATACATGATTTTTAACCCTTTGAAAACAATTAGCATTGACTAAAACTCTCGCATGTGAATATTTAGGCCTGTATCACGCACAAGGTAAACAATACAGATTGCCATACCGATACTGCTCTTCCTTCACTAATATACTGATAAATAGGTCACCAAATATATATATATGATGCAGATTTGTAGCTACCATTGCATTCCGACATGTCATCTATGAATGACAGTACAGTACAGTGCTTGTAGCAACTGTTGGTTGAACGTCTTAAAATTAACTGTGGTATCCAAAATAGTACATGTTGTGCATTTACTATTTCGTAGAGGGCACAAGACAGAAGGCAAATACAGAACCAAAATTGTCCTTGGCCTAGTATAGTACATATGTACTAAATAAAATCTAAAATGGCATATATTAGGCTTTGGATACCATATTTAGGCTTAAGACAGGTTAGGTTAGATTGTAATTGCTGGTTCACTGTTTACAATGTCCTTAGGAGTTCCAATTGGGCAGTACAAAATATGAACCTTTTTGGTACAGTTCATTGTTGTATATTCCACCAATAATTACTGTATGTTCTATCATTTCTGACGGATGGACTGATGTACTCGGGGGCAGAGGACCTGCACACATTAATTAAATGGACAGTGAATACAGGGTCAGAGATCCTTTTTAACATCTTTACAAAAAGCACTTGAGAAAGTCTCTCTCTCTCCCACCTGGTCCTGGTAACCCAGCAAGAAGAAATTATTCCCACATGCTTCCTCCCTATTAACGTTAACAACAGAAAAAGATATAAACCTAGACCAGAATTCATCATGCATTTACACAAGATTTACAATATCTTCATATCTGTCCTTAATTGAGGCAGCTTTGTTTACATTTATTCAACAGTTTATGAGCTCTAAAACTTTGCAACCCAAGATTATTATTGTTACCTGCAACCTTGTAGCACTTTGGAGCTCATAAACTGTTTAATCAAAATAAATAAAGCTGACATTATTGAGGAAAGACATACAGGTTTTGTAAGTGATCATGTAAATGTTTGATGAATCCTGGGCCCCTGGTCTCACCGTACCTTCAGAATAAAAAATGTACAAATAAATGTTAGGACAAAGCATGATAAGTACAATCAATCAATATTATTATTAATATTATATATATATATATATATATATATATATATATATATATATATATATATATATATATATATATATATATATAATATAAATAGGAAACTATTTTTATTTTCAAGTGTAAACCCAGTTCCTATATCACATTTTTTTAGTGTGTTGTAAAGCTTCGCCACCAAATTAAAATATTATCATAATATTTGAGGAGAGCAAAACTAAATTGTATGTAAATTTAATTTGTTGTAATCTTGTTCAGTGTTCAATGGATAACCACACTGTCTCTGGAAATACCATAACCATAATTGGTTTTGAAAGACACTTAGCATTCAATGACCATAACTTGCTCCATCATTTAATCTTCACTCTCTCCTGAGGTTGTCCAATCTGGCCTGAATGTCGTCGTCAGCAGCATCTGCTACAGCAACGGGTGTCTTGGATGCTGCTGTTGTTGTTCCAAGAGTTCCACCAGCGGACGGAAGTACACTCAATCCTTCTGTCATCTGGAGACCAAGCTCGTCTAGGACTTGAGCAACAATGGCATCACTGTCAAAGATTTAAATACATCATTCAGTCAAATCCTCCAACACGAGTAGCAATGAAATGCTCTTATTTACAAAACAAATACAGTACATTTTATCTAAAACAAATACAGTACATATATATCTAATAGAAATAATAATGAATGAGTTTGGGTGGATACAAATAGGAGCTGCCTTGTATGGGACTAAAATGCCTTTGCAGTTTCCTTTCTTGTGTTTTTAATTCATCTCCACTTCCTACATATAATGATTAGGTGTACTGTATTGTTCAACCATAAGCTCATCCAGGAGAAACATTACACTTTTTTAAAAGATTAGAAACAGGAAATTTGATGGAATGGCTAGTGATGGTACATTTGCAGCAAGGCGAGAGTGGTTTATAGACGCGAGTCCAGGGCAAACTCCAGGGTGAATAAGATCTTGCATTAGTGAGCAACCAAATGTAATGCTCACAAAAATCATTTTAATATACAGTATTGTTTACTCAAAGCTCCACTATGCAGCTCCCTAAGCAAAGTTCTGTATAAGCAGAAACAACTCTAACAAGGTTAAGTTAAATGGAAAAGTTGCATGTATTAAATTTTGATGTGTTGATGAGGTAAGCAAAAGCCTGGCTCCACTTTCTAATAATGCAAATGGTGGGTGTCGTTAATGCAGTAGCCGAATAATATTTATATAACTTTCTGTGCCAAATAAACATATCCACATTATTCCATCCCAAATAACATGAAAGATAGAAGAAATAGAATGCTTATCAATGAAAAAATCATAAATATATAAATTTAAAAAAAAAAAAAAAATCTGCCAGCATTACCTAACTCCATCCTGCCAGAGAATCAAACCCGACACACTAAATCCCCGCATTATTTTCCTACTGGAATAAAAGCTTTTAACAACTTAAATGCAGTGCATATTAAACAAACAAAATTGAAACCTTGAAATGTGTGTATCATCTTATGAAGGTTGACCCCATGGTACACCTAACAGTACAAGACAGTTTAGGTACAGTACAGTACTGCGTAACAACAAACTCCAGTTGGTACAATGTACTCCCAATATGTATTTGAGGCTTCCAAGTAAACATCTGCAATCTTTAAAAGTGACACAATTTTTTAGATATTTTACTTATTAACAATATAACAAGACATAAAACGTGATTTTATTTGTTTTTATTTTAAAGATAGAGAAAATGCTAGATTTATGCTATGCACGTTTCAAAGGTTAATCATGATACATTACCTCTCTTCCTCATCATCTTCATCACCCATGGCATCATCTATTACATCATTCATCATCTCCTCTTTCATGTCCATAATTTCTGTTTGTTTCTCAAACTCTTGCATGATTTGCTGGATCTGAGGAAGTTTCAATTGCCTGAAAGAAATAGATAAAAGTAGTTATAAATATATACAGTAATATAAATTTAAAGTACAAAAAGACCTAAAAACACACAATGTGTGTAAAAACACACACACAACCACAAGATTTCTGGGTCGGTATTCATCAAGCACCTACATGTCCACTTACGAGACCTGCACATCTTTCCTCGATCATGGCGGAGTAGTCTGCATTTATTAAACAATTTATGAACTCCAATGCATTACGAGGTTGTTTATAGCAATCACAACGTTGCTGCCGCGATTAAGGAAAGATGTACAGGTCTCGTAAGTGGACATTTAGGGGCTTAACGAATACTGACCAAAAGGCCAGATGATAAGATGTGCTGTAAAAAGAATGTTTTTGCATAGGACACATGACTGGCTGTCTCAGCTTATTAAGAACACTAACTGTGCCACACAGGTCACTTTTCCATGAATTATCCATACTACATAGGTCACTTTCTTTTGGCTTACCTATGCCAGATTGGTCAAGGATACCAATTGGTTACTAATGCTGTATATGTCACAGTTACCTGTGGTTTACCTTTGTTTTGCAAAATTTCTATGCTTGGTGTTCAGTTTGAGCCAGAACTTCCTTGGACACTGAGGCTAAGCTTAAGGTAGTTTGTAGCATGCAAGCCAACACATCATCATAAAAAAACACCATTGACTGTAATGAAACACCAATTTCTGGGCGAGTCCCAGTGGCTCCCTGAAGCAATCTCACCGAGATGATCCATAGTTACTAAATCACATCACCTGTGAAGATGAGTTTGGCCTACCAGGGACCAGAACCAGAAGGTGGCTTCCCACCTCACAGAGGCTCAAGAAGCAGGTGACACTCTGCCACCTCACTGGGAAAGGCACCCAGAAACTCAGCGAACCAACACTGACCACCGCTGGGTTCCAAGAGACTAAAGCCTTACAACACACTGAATAAACTCCCCCAACAATGTAAACAAATGCTCGAAAATTTCTTGAGACAAGTGTGTGCTCATTTGTCCCCACCCCTCCATCTCTTTTAGGGAGGCAGGGGGGGCTGAGGCTCATGCTGTCCACTGGCTCAAGCCCTCAATTCAGCACATGTATGCAGACCCCCCTCCCCCAACCGATAACCTTGAAGTGAGGAAGGATATCAGGGAGTAACAGGGCCTTGCCCAGAAACTGGCGTTTCATTACATTCAACGCTGTTTTTCTAGGGGAACCCCCTTGTGGCTCCATGAAACAAACTACCTATGGAGAAGAAAAACAGACACACAACCCATGGAGGAGGAAACCAATTAAACAGGATCGACCCATATTTTATTAAAATATGAACATATTTTATTTTCTTCAATTTTTATTTATATTACCTTTTTTAAAATGCAATGCAATGCTGTATTGGGCTGTCACTAACATTATTTGTATCACAGAAAATGTAGATTGTAGGTCTGAACAGATTTTTGTCACTACGAGGCTTTGGTCTCTTTGAACCCAGCAGTGGTCAGTATTGCTTCACTGTCTTTCTAGGTGCCTTCCTTGGTGAGATGGCAGAGTGTCACCTGCTTCCTGTACCTCTGAGAGAGGACCAGATTCTGGCTTTGATCCCCAGTAGACCAAACTCGTCTCCACAGCTGACAAGATCTAGTAGTGTGGGATCATCTCAGCGAGATAGCTTCAGGGAGCTGCAAGTGGCTCCCCTCAGAAATGTGTTATTTCTGTATATTGTACTGTTACTAAAGAAGGGAATAAGACAATCACTTACTTGTTCATGTTCATCATGGCCTTCGTAACTCCCTTCATAGCCTGGGCCATAGCATTTTGGCTTTTCAGTGTTGTAATTTTAAGGGATACAGCTTGGATTTGAGCACGCATCATGATGAACTTCTTGGTGTACCGACGAGTCCGCACCAGATCCTTGGCCATTACCTTCACCGCATCCTACAATTTGGAGAACTAAGTTAATAGTGTACAAAACTGAATGAAGACAATGACTATATATAAATAATTACTAAACAAGTATTACTCTGGCAAAATATTGCATTAACCATAACACTGCTCTAAAAGTTATCCGTGACTTCCTCCCGTCCTCCAATCACCACATTATATTTATTAGTGTGTTCAATCACCACATGCCATTTTCTCCTGTCCTCCAATCACCATGTGTGTGTGATTGATCTTTATGAGTTTTCAATACTTGTTTTTTTCCAAGTGCACCTGGCTGTAGGAATTTTAAATAGCTCAGCAACTGAAGGGTTTAGGTGCAAGCAAGCAAACCCTCTTTCAGCTCATCTATCATCAACAAAGAAAACCTTTGTCTGATCTATCCAATTTAATTTCTGTTATATTCAGAGCAGATGATACCACCTGTTTGTATCCCACTACATTTTAAATGCTATCTATGTAAACAGAAAGAGCATGATGTCTGCCACACTTTGTGTGCTATAGTCATATACTGTACCAGTACAAGTATCATTAACCCTTAAACAGCTCCAACTGCTATCTGAGATTACCTCCTGTGCTCAAATGATCAAATGTGCCGCACACTTTGTGCGCTATAGTCACTAGGCTCATTACACGTTGAGATGTAAGTCTCGTCCTAATCACACACTCAGATCTTGACCAAGCACTCAGCAGAGTGCAAAAGACTTGGTGTAAAGTCCTCACATAAATTTCACAGATACACAAGTGTGGGTTTTTATCCATTAGTCAACTTGATGTGGAGTTTCATCCTGTGGAGGGTCAGTAGTTTGACCTTGTGGGAAACCTCGATTTAAGGCTTACATGTATATATACACTGGCTGCCTGTCCCAGGCACAATAAATTACTGTATTATTATTATTTATTATTTCAATCCATTTTGGACCATTATCAAGTCATCATGACTTGCTAAGCATTCAAGACAGACCAAAACATCATCACTTTCATTTAATTTTGGATGTGTGGGTTATTTATTATATTAAGATACAGTACAGTATGTCAATTTTGGATGACCATATGTACTGTTATTTTTTCCTCTTCCCAGGTCAACTATCTAGGAACCTGACATCATTCTGGATTTGTCTGTTTTCAATCAGTACATTCTTTGTCCCACATTCCAGATAATTATCATGTCTGAGGTTCATCAGGAAGTTTGAACTGGCTCTTAGCCCATGTCCCCGAATCTTCATGACACCAGTTGGCCAATAGGCCTCCTGCAGTTTCCTTTATTCTAATGTTCTTATGTCCCTATCTAGCTGTAGTCGAGGGATTAGCCATCTGTGATTCCCATACATTTTCGTACATTAGCCCCCCTTGGTTCTATAAGTTCATGTCTGTTTTGTACCTTCAATAGCATTTTTATGATCTATTTTTAAACCAAAAGGTAGAGTGATAAAATCTGCACTTTGGCAAACTGAGCACCAATAGGGTGCTGGACTGTTCACTTTGAAAATCACTGGTTTAACAGCACAACTCATTACTGTATATATCTTTTACACTCATTAAAATTAGTCAACTATTAGACTTCCCAAGGCTAGTAGATACAAGTACTGCATATGAACAAACAAATCCTTACTTACCATCTGTCCCATTTTTGCCATCTTCTTTATGTCAGCAATGATTTTCTTCTCCTGTTGCTCCATCTTTGATCTCTCTCGATCCAGATCTCTCATGGCTTTGTTTAAGGCACGTTGATTTTTCCTCAGCATTTCCTCCGGAGTCATTTTTCGACCGAATAGCCATTCGAACGGCATGTTTGATGAGCTGCAGGAAATATTCAGTCATATACAAATTAGTAAACTTTAGTTTAAAATAACAATATTCTTAAACTTTTTAATAATACACCTAATTAAAATCACCAGAACGTTAAAAAATTTAATAATAAATCTAAATTTAAAATTACATAATTATTATTTCCTTATTTCCAAGAGGTGGGACGATATCAGTTCAAAGGAAATGGGAGACCAATATAGGAAAAGATTAAAGAAAACTATCAAAGAAAAGCAAAATCCATTCACAGAATCTCCACAGTACATTAGCATCATCCCACTCCAGAACAGCCACATCATCATCAAACCAGAAATAATGGTTCCCTGTGCATCATCAAACCACTTTATATACAAGCATATGTAAAGTAGCTCCTGTGAGTTGTCAGCAAACATCTGCACATCATGAGAACGAACATACACAGACACCTAACTGAACTGGACCACCTCATGCATGTCATTAGAGATGTGGGACTTGAAACTAAGAACCTTTGACACATTGGTTCAGAAATTAAGCCTCAACCCCAAACATCGTATGACAAAGAGTACTGGAAAACAGGACACCATGAGCATAGCTCTTATCCTGTAACCACACTTAGGTAATAATTAAGAGTGCAAGTATTGCACAGATAATAATCTTACAGTTGGAAGTAACAGAAAGCAGAAAACTAACCATGAAAAAAGAATCATGAGCAGAGGAGAAAACCTGAAATGAAAAAGAAGACAATCTTTATTCAACACACAATCCACATAACTTGAAGGTCAAGAGGATCATAAGTTGGCTGGAGATGAAAAAATGCTAATGACAGCCAAAGAGAGTTTGGTGATGACATACCAACCCAAATGTTATTGAGAGAGGCTCTGCCATGGAAGATGAGAACAAGGTAACAGCACTAAATTAGGTATCAACTGGCAATCTACAAAAAGCAAGAACAGGATGGACAAAACTACAGATACCAACACAGAGAACAGATGCCAAAGAGATAAGAGGTGGAAGGCTCACCAAGCCATCTCATACTGTCGCCTTGAAGAGAGACAAATGTGACACCAAGAGGTCTGCCACCCGACTCTCATACATGTAACTGTACACAAGGCAAAGATCAGTAGAGAGCTTCAAAATGTTGAGGAAGGCCATACTACTGATCATCTGGGACAAGCAGAGCCTCAGGAAATGAAAAAGAATTGGGACAATAGGCAATAAGACCACCCCCCTTCCCCTTTCCTGACTGACATAGTAGTTGATAGCAAAAGCCCCAGCCAAGGTCCAATGGATCCACGAACAGTTCGTACAACAATGAAGGACGGTGCCACAGAACTGAGCCCCCTAAAACCAGAGGAAGATAATGATGCAGGATTGACCTTAGGTGATAGAGGGCCTGATCCATAAGAGTCCCAGCTGCAGTGAAAGGATACCCACTGGAGAGAACTGCGAGAACTGCTAAGTGCCTTTAGTCAGTGGGTAAAATGCAGATGAACTTCAAGTTGCTCAAGAGATTTAAAGCTACAATAGGTAGCCAAGACTTTCCCTGCAGCAATCGAATGTAGTAGTGCAGTTGCAACACGACCAACTAAGGAAGAGAAAAGGCCTTTCTGGCATTTAAGACCAAACTCGCCCAAATCAAAACCTGAGATGACACTTTCTGGCATTTAAGACCAAACTCAGCCAAATCAAAACCTGAGATGACACTAACTTGAGACTTGCATCAGTTGATCAGCTAGGTGGAGCAGGCCAACCAGGAGAGAGTCAGAGTCCTAGACAGCAGACAAGCAAGACAGCTTTGGACTTAAACTAACCAGTCATGCCATAATGTGGAACCCCAAAACACAGGCTTCAGAGGACTATGCAAGTCAATTTGGTGAAGATTTTGGGAACCAGCTTAAGTCTAAATAGCAGAGCCCAAATGTGATACAAGAGGTCATACAAACCTGCAATTACCATATGCTGATATCTGGCATGTCTAAATAATATGCTAGTATGCTTCCTCATAAAAGAGCAAGGATTTTGGAATTGCAATACCTGCCATACACAGGGGGTTGCAAAAGAATAAATCGTAAAGCCTGGTCTCACAAAGCAGCCACAACTAGCCAGCCAGCCTCACAAAATGTTGGTTCAATCAAAACCAAAGTCCAGCCCTGACAAATGACACACCCACAGGTGAAATGGCCCCTGAAACCAGCAGGATGCAGGACACAGGCAACAGAAATGGCCATCAGTAAGGTAACTAAGGTACAGTATTTATTATGAAAAAGAGGTAAGCCAGTATAACTATACCACACTTGAAGGGATATGAGGACAAGGAGCTGAGATATGAAGGAAAGAGTGAAGGAGCAATCCCCAAACACTTATGCCATTGAGGATCGAACCCAGACCCTGCAAAAAGCCAGTAGGATTATATAGCACTTGGAAGGAATATGAGGATAAGGAGCTGCACAAATAACCCAACCAAAAAGCGTGAAATGCAGTGAAAGTGACGACGTTTAGATCCCTCCATAACACTTTATGTCATGACTTGATAAGAGTTCAGGACAGACTGAAACATCGTCACTCTCATTTTGTGTGGGTGGGTTATATTATTTGTTTTAGCTACATTATTGTTCTCTGCAGCTGAACAAAAAATGTAGCGATTATAAACATTACTGCATAGCGCTACACCTACCACATAGTTCACCTTAGGGATATGGGAGGGTTATGTTCTGGGAGTGTCATTATCACTATTATTTTTACCATATGAAAACAATTCTTTCCATATATATACATATGTAAAAAAAAAGGTAACAATAAACAACTAAATATTAAAATGCTTATGGACACTCCACTTGCCCACTCGACCCCAGTTCACTTCAGGGGTTGGTGAGAAAGTGGTAAATAAAGAAGTGACCACAGTGTTAGCGACTTCTGAGTAGGTCTACAGGATGTTGACACTTTACAAGTTCTAGCATCTACATATGACAACTGCTCTCTCAAACACCCTTCTACGCTCAACAAAGCATTTAAAAAAATAACAAACAAACAATGCTGAATTACCTTTCCATCCTGATTATCTGGTAATTCAAAAGTGAAATAAGTTAGATACTGTACATAATTATTACATCAATAAAAAAAAATATATACAGTATACAATATTGTAGTACCCAATCCACACACACATGAAAAGAAAGGAAAGTGACGATGTTTCGGTCTGTCCTGAACGCGCCGGGTCGTCACTTTCTTTTCATATGTAGGCTGGGTATTAGTTTCCAGTCATGATATCATGACATATTCTTTGCATAAGCTGTAGTAGTAGTAGTACTTAGTAGTTTTAACTTTGGAAGAGACTAATAATTCAGCAACTTTACAGGTTAGTTACCAGTAAAGTAAGCTTAAAAACTTCCTTCCTCCATTTATCAAAATCTGGAACTGAATTCATTGTACTGTCTACTACACAATTTTACGCGAATGGACAGTGAACGTTATTGTTTGTCACATTTTATGAAGACAAAATACTGAGCGAATCTTTGATGTTATCTTTTCTTTATTATCATTTCACAGCAGCTGTGATAGCCAGCTGTGGTAGGGAAGTGTGGTAACCAGCAATGTTAGCAAGCTGTGGTAGCCAGATGTGATAGGTAAGTGTGGTAGCCAGCAATGGTAGCCAGATGTGGTAGCCAGCTGTGGTAGCCAGCTGTGGTAGCCAGCTGTGGTAGCCAGCTGTGGTAGCCAGATGTGGTAGCCAGCTGTGGTAGCCAGCTATGGTAGCCAGTTGTGGTAGCCAGCTATGGTAGCTAGATGTGGTAGCCAGCTATTATAGCCAGTTGTGGTAGCCAGCTATGGTAGCCAGCTATGGTAGCCAGATGTGGTAGCCAGCTGTGGTAGCCACCTATGGTAGCCAGATGTGGTAGCCAGCTATGGTAGCTAGATGTGGTAGACAGCTATTATAACCAGTTGTGGTAGCCAGATGTGGTAGCCAGCTATTATAGCCAGTTTTAGTAGCCAGCTATGGTAGCCAGTTGTGGAAGCCAGTTATAATAGCCAGTTGTGGAAGCCAGTTATAATAGCCAGTTGTGGAAGCCAGTTATAATAGCCAGTTGTGGAAGCCAGTTATAATAGCCAGTTGTGTTAGTCATCTAAATCATTGGGAACATATCACCAACACATTTCTGCACAACGACATTTTCCTCCGATTTAAGAACATAAGAACTAAGGAAACTCCTGAAGGTCTATTAGCCTATACAAGGAAGCTCCTATTTATATCCACCCAAACTCATTCATATATATATATCTAACTTACACTAGAAACATCAAGTGATCCCAATCCCATAATTTGTTCCAAAAATAAATAAAAAATCCAAACCAGTATTTATCCAGGTCTTTCTTGAACCTAAACTTATTAAATTTATATACATTGTTTTGTGTTGATATATTTAACACTTTATTAATATTCCTCTTGTTATACCCTTTCATTTATTTATTTACTTATTTATGCATATACAAGAAGGTACATTGGGATTGTGAGGATACATAATATGGTAATTACAATCTTGTAAAGCCACTAGTACGCGCAGCGTTTCGGGCAGAGAAACATGTCATTCATTTATATACAGTCCCGTACTTCAATCATGTCCCCCCACCACCCCAGTTCTCTTGGTTCACCTTTTTTATAGTTCCCCAGCATTTCCTATTAAGCTTGTATGTTGGCAAAAATTATATTAGTCAAAACTCACTCGTTCGCAAAGGTACACACCAGAGGCTTCACGCTGTTATGATTTACGCATTGAATAGAAAATGCAACTTTTTAGCTGGATTTGTACACGATTTACAGTTAACACCAATGCAATTTTTTTGTGGTAATTAATAATGCCTGATCATTTTGTGTATCTCATATTTTAGTTGATATTTCCTCACTAAAATTTTGAAGTTTACGATATATAGTAACAGCAAATACTGTAAATGATGTTTGACTAATTATTATTTTTTTTTTTTTTTTTTTTTTGCCTAATGCTCGTTTACACCCAAAACTCGGTTCAGGTTCCAAGTGAGATCTTACACATTGTGTACATCCTTAACCCACGTTTAAGGGACCCAGATTAAATCCCCCGGGCAAGACAGAAATGTCAGACATGTTTCCCTTCACCTGATGCCTCTGTTTACCTAACAGTAAACAGGCACCCAGGTGTTAGGTACCAGTTGCAGGTTACATCCTGGGGAAGATTAGTTGTTCATCAAGTGGGATCCCCGATAACCAAAGTGCAAGCTGCCTGTCCTGACAAATGGGAATTATTTCTCTGCCTGACCACAACCATGGCTTTTTTTTTATAATTACCTAAGTGTAGTTACAGGATGAGAGCTACGCTCGTGGTGTCCCGTCTTCCCAGCACTCTTTGTCATATAACGCTTTGAAACTACTGACGGTTTTGGCCTCCACCACCTTCTCACCTAATTTGTTCCAACCGTCTACCACTCTGTTTGCAAAAGTGAATTTTCTTATATTTCTTCGGCATCTTTGTTTAGTTAGTTTAAATCTATGATCTCTTGTTCTCGAAGTTCCAGGTCTCAGGAAATCTTCCTTATCAATTTTATCAATTCCTGTTACTATTTTGTATGTAGTGATCATATCTCCACTTTTTCTTCTATCTTCTAGTTTTGTGTGTGTGTGTGTGTGTACAAAAATGCAAAAATATAGAATATTGTTTATAAAATGAGTATTTACTCTAAGTTCACACATGGCTTCTGACCATTTTTATGAAATCATTACCCTTTGCTGTGATGAATAACAAGGCAAAATTAGTCAAATTATACACACCGCCAATAAGCCTATACTGTATAATAATAATAATTCATAGTGTGGGGACAGAAAGCCTGAGTGTATTCATACACATTTGGCTTTTATCCGTCCCACAAGGTCAAATTACTGACTCCGCCGACTAACTCCTGAGTACCTACTCACTGCTAGGTGAGCAGAGGCATTAGGTTAAAAGAAATATGCCCAACCATTTCTATTCTACCTAGGATTCGAACCCAGAATTCTCAATTGTGCGTCGAGAACGAACCCGACTGTACTACTGGGCCCCTTGGTTGCATATGATCCAACTGCTGTCACTGCCCATTTTGGAATGCAAGCCATGTTGGGAACATTCAATATTTGATGGCATTCATTTAGCTTGCCATAAAAAAAAAAATATAATAATAATAATAATAATAATAATAATACTGTAATAATGATACAGTACTAATAATGAACAATGAAATCACATTATCATGATGTATCAATGAGACAAATGGTCTATCGCACTAGCTTGGGTGTACCAAGTGAGCAGGCTCGAATCCTGTCAACTCATACACAAGACCGTTCAAGAGTGCTGTCAACTCATACACAAGACCGTTCAAGAGTGCTGTCAACTCATACACAAGACCGTTCAAGAGTGCTGTCAACTCATACACAAGATCATTCAAGAGTGCTGTCAACACACTCGGTGAGCCGGTGGCGGAGCAGACAGCACGCTGGACACGTGATCCTGTGGTCCTGGGTTCGATCCCGGGAGCCGCGAGAAACGATGGGCAGAGTTTTTCACCCTATGCCTCTGTTACCTAGCAGTAAATAGGTACCTGGGTGTTAGTCAGCTGTCACAGGCTGCTTCCTGGGGGTGGAGGCCTGGTTGAGGACCGGGCCGCAGGGACACTAAAGCCCTGAAATCAACTCAAGATAACCTCAAGATAACACATACAGAAGACGGTTCAAGAGTGCTGTCAACACATACACAAGATGGTTCAAGAGTGCTGTCAACTCATACACAAGATCGTTCAAGAGTGCTGTCAACACATACAGAAGACGGTTCAAGAGTGCTGTCAACTCATACACAAGATGGTTCAAGAGTGCTGTCAACTCATACACAAGATGGTTCAAGAGTGCTGTCAACACATACACAAGACGGTTCAAGAGTGCTGTCAACACATACACAAGATGGTTCAAGAGTGCTGTCAACTCATACACAAGATGGTTCAAGAGTGCTGTCAACACATACACAAGACGGTTCAAGAGTGCTGTCGAACCATACACAAGATGGTTCAAGAGTGCTGTCAACTCATACACAAGATGGTTCAAGAGTGCTGTCAACACATACACAAGACGGTTCAAGAGTGCTGTCAACACGTACACAAGACGGTTCAAGAGTGCTGTCAACTCATACACAAGATGGTTCAAGAGTGCTGTCAACTCATACACAAGATGGTTCAAGAGTGCTGTCAACACATACACAAGACGGTTCAAGAGTGCTGTCAACACGTACACAAGACGGTTCAAGAGTGCTGTCAACACGTACACAAGACGGTTCAAGAGTGCTGTCGAACCATACACAAGACGGTTCAAGAGTGCTGTCAACACATACACAAGACGGTTCAAGAGTGCTGTCAACACATACACAAGACGGTTCAAGAGTGCTGTCGAACCATACACAAGATGGTTCAAGAGTGCTGTCAACACATACACAAGATGGTTCAAGAGTGCTGTCAACACATACACAAGATGGTTCAAGAGTGCTGTCAACTCATACACTAGACTGTTCAAGAGTGCTGTCAACTCATACACAAGACGGTTCAAGAGTGCTGTCAACTCGTACACAAGATGGTTCGACAGAGCTCATGTAAGTATGTAACTTTCTAAGGCTTTGTAAGAATTTAACACTTGATCACCATCATATGTGCTTTCACAACCCATTGTACCTTCTTGTACGTAAATAAATTATATAGTGTATAGTGTAGTTAGGTTAGGATGTATTAACTTAGGTTAGGCTGGGTTAGGCTAGGTTTGCGTTATGTTAGTTTGGGTTAGGATAGTTTTTTATTTATTTATATATATACTGTACATTGTTACATTGTTGTACAGCCACTAGCATGGATAGCATTTCGGGCAAGTCCTTAATCCAAATTTTTCACCTGGAATACGACCCGCGAAATCGTTTAACAACCAGGTTGGGTACGGTTAGGTTTTAAAAATCCGTCTTTTGAACGGGGACATATATCCAACAATCCAGCCTACGACAGTGTGAGCAAGACATACATCTTAAGGTAAAACATGGCAAAAAAATAGCTCTTAAGAGGTCACCTGAAGTCTTAATTACTGCACTATCACTTTCTTCTCCTTGACGGTCACACTAACAGTCTTCCAGGGATAATATGACATATATAACTGGTGGAGGGGGGTGGGTGGGGGGTCCATAGAATTACCCAAATCGACCCAAATCAGGCCAAAACTACCCAAATCGTATTAGCATTACGTAAGTAATGAAGAAATATGGTATATTTACTTACTATAATGTTGGTGCTACACGTAGAACATGATCAAACCTATTTTTACTCTGAAATAATCTAATTTCATAACGAAATGAGACGTAAATATGTGAGAGGTGACGCCATAGGAAGTCGACGGTCCAAGCGACAATTGTGTGGAGCGACTTATCCAAGATATATGGTCGCCTGGAGAGTGTTTGCTGCCATAACAGCCTCCTGTACACAGTGATCCAGTCGTCGTATTTCATGGCTCAAATTGTCGCAAATTTAATTGGTAATATTAACAAGTAGAATGTGTATTTATAATAATATTTTTCATAAACAGCCACAAAATATTTAATATTTATTAAAAAAAAGTGTCTGGAAGTTAAATCAATTCCACATGACAATAAATTTGTTATATAGATACTAGCGTTATTCGTTGGTATGCGTTCGCTATTTAAACTACTCCAGTCCTTTTCGTTCATAGAACACCGAACCCTACACGCCCTCTGATATATTGCTTAATTAACAAATATTCACAAATAAAGATTATATTTATATATGTTATCAGAAAGGCAGATATAAAATAGTTTGTGTTAATGCATCACAGAGATTATACCTTATTAGAGAGGAAAAATATTCATATTTTAAACAAGGCTTCTTGGCCGACGCTCTCCTTACCGATATGGGAACTATGACCTTCCGAAGATCAATGTTAATTGAATCTATATATTGTAAAAAACGAAGTTTTTTATGTCATCAGAAAGACATATAAGCTGCATGTTAATACTTTGGTATAAATATAACTGAAGTGAAAGTGAAGATATATGCCTTTTTATAGTTACTTGATGGCTCGCTCAGGGAGTGTGAAGGCCTGCACACAAGCCAATCAATTTTATAATTAATGTACATATATGCAAAGTAACGTCAAAGGTTTTTATTTCAGAATAAAGACAGATGTAGACGATAATGTAAATACATTTCAAGGAAAACATATCTTAAATGAAAGCAAAGACATGGTCAAATAAATAGGCAATACCACACCATCGCCAGTGTCCGAACACATGAATATTCGCATTAGGTAGGTGAAAGGAAATGTACCCAACCATTTCCATTTACGCGACCAGTTTCCGTTCTTATGTTCTTACTTACATTTATTGAAATTTATCATCATCATCATTTACAGAAATAAATTAACATAAAAATGTAGTAATTTTAATACACAAAACAGAAGTAGATATGTATGTAAATTATGACGCAGGATAGGATCACTATTGCAGAACTATTCGCATACTTTGCGTCATTATATACAGTACTGGAATTTAAAAAAAATCGCGGAATTCAGAGATAACACCATCATTGGTGTCCAAGAAAAGTGTAAGTACTTCATTTATAATGATGTGCTGCCCGAAATCTTAGCGAAGTATCTAAAATTTGCTTACTGTAAGTAATTCATGCAAATGATTGTAAAGCCGTCGCCCAGTTGGGTGGGTGTGGAGCACATGACTGTTAAGCTGCCGCCCAGTTGGTTGGGTGTGGAGCACATGACTGTAAAGCTGCCGCCCATTTGGGTGGGTGTGGAGCACATGACTGTTAAGCTGCCGCCCAGTTGGGTGGGTGTGGAGCACATGACTGTTAAGCTGCCGCCCAGTTGGGTGGGTGTGGAGCACATGACTATAAAGCTGCCGCCCAGTTGGGTGGGTGTGGAGCACATGACTGTTAAGCTGCCGCCCAGTTGGGTGGGTGTGGAGCACATGACTGTTAAACTACCGCCCAGTTGGGTGGGTGTGGAGCACATAACTGTTAAGCTGCCGCCCAGTTGGGTGGGTGTGGAGCACATGACTGTAAAGCTGCCGCCCAGTTGGGTGGGTGTGGAGCACATGACTGTTAAGCTGCCGCCCAGTTGGGTGGGTGTGGAGCACATGACTATAAAGCTGCCGCCCAGTTGGGTGGGTGTGGAGCACATGACTGTTAAGCTGCCGCCCAGTTGGGTGGGTGTGGAGCACATGACTGTTAAGCTACCGCCCAGTTGGGTGGGTGTGGAGCACATGATTGTTAAGCTGCCGCCCAGTTGGGTGGGTGTGGAGCACATGACTGTTAAGCTACCGCCCAGTTGGGTGGGTGTGGAGCACATGACTGTTAAGCTGCCGCCCAGTTGGGTGGGTGTGGAGCACATGACTGTTAAGCTGCCGCCCAGTTGGGTGGGTGTGGAGCACATGACTGTTAAGCTGCCGCCCAGTTGGGTGGGTGTGGAGCACATGACTGTTAAGCTGCCGCCCAGTTGGGTGGGTGTGGAGCACATGACTGTAAAGCTGCCACCCAGTTGGGTGGGTGTGGAGCACATGACTGTAAAGCTGCCGCCCAGTTGGGTGGGTGTGGAGCACATGACTGTAAAGCTGCCGCCCAGTTGGGTGGGTGTGGAGCACATGACTGTAAAGCTGCCGCCCAGTTGGGTGGGTGTAGAGCAAGACTAGTAATTGGACGACTCACCATAGATGTAAAGTGCCTAGTATAGTGACTTGTGAGCCTCTTGTTGAATCACTTGTGATACAAAGATTATTGATGTGTGTATTTGTGTGGGTGATTGAATATGTATGTGAATGTATATGTATGTATATGTATATATGCAATTGACGATCACGAAACAATAATCATTTGTATGCGGAAAAATCCATATTTCATTTCTCTGGATTTACCTCATATGTATATATATGTACATGTATGTATGATTATGTGTACATGTATATATAACATTAATAAGAGGAAATGAAGATGAAGAAATGATAAAAAGAATGGCAATAGTGGATAGTAGTAACACACTTAAGAATTATTCAGTAATAAATACAAACTCGTCCTTCACCTATGATAAAGGAAAGTCAACTTGGAAGGATTCAATTTACATGAGATTAAGATTAGGATACAAATATATCTGGCAATACGGAGTTGATGTCAGTGAAAAAGATAAGGAGTGTAAATTATGTAGTATGCCGCACGCCCACACCTTAGAACATTATGTATTAGAGTGTCAACTTATTGATAACTATAGAAATAAGGAAATAAGTAATGTACCACATCAAATTGTTTGTATGTGTGATAATGGTATGATAGACAGTATACTTAGGAGCTACAAAAATTTTGCCCCAAGAGTGTAACAATTGTATGCTGTACTTACTATATTAACCTGCAATGTTAAATGGGATTCTTGTAATGCTAATTGTCTATTTGTACTTACTGAATTTGTACGCCCCTTGAGGGACTTGAAGTAGAGGGGGTAGAAATAGCCTAAGTTACTCTATCCCTTTGAGATGTATTTTTTTCTTGTCTCAATAAACATACTTGAACTTGAACTGTAAATATTTGTGGCTTCCTGACCATAAAGTTACCGCCGCAGTCGAGGGTAAGAGACCGGATGTACCCAGTATACAAGCCGCACTAGCTATTAGTTCATAAAAGCTGACAACTTACCCAGATAAACATTACTTCCTAATTATATATATATATGCAAATAATAAAATTAAAATGTTTAAAACGTGATTATATATATGTATCATGTGGACAGTTTTTAATGTAATTTTTTCTCCTGATATTCGGGTTCTTTATTATGCTTCATCTTGAGGCAAAGCCCAATACCTTACGCCATATTGATGCTCTGTCTACAGATCATTCTCTCTCTCTCTCAAATCATATACATTGATGGTTTCCTACACCGCCACACGGGTGCAGCTGCAAGTGCAGTTGCCTCTACCCATCAGACAGAACTATTTGCCTTGCTTGTTACACTAAAATGTGTACAAGTGTGTGTGTCTATGTATTAACACGATGTACTGAACGGGGTGAGAATAGCTTGAGCTACCTCATCCATTTGTGTGTATTTTACCTCAATAAACTTATTTCAATTTCAATTTCAATTCAAGTCTCCAAACTTGATGCATTAATTGTAAGTGATTTTCTACCATCCTGCATTAATTGTAAGTGATTTCTATCATGCTTAATTGCGCGCAACTCTCTAAGACACAATTGTAACATGACCGTGTCTGAAGCTAGACAGAAAACACAACATTATTAGTGATGGTAACATAAGCCATTTCATGTGAATTCCATCTTCGTTGACCTCCGAAACTTGAGGAATGGTCCAGAAAATAGCTACTAAAGTTTAAGTCAAGTGTGAAGATACTTTAGTTGATACTTAGATACTTCCAATAAGTGTAAACATAAGTGCTGACGATGCTACCTTCCTCTATTCAGACCCCAACCCAAACGCACTATATAATAATAAAAATAATAGATTTAAAAAGTCCACTCATGGATGTAAACTAACAAACTCACATCAAACATAAAAAAGACCGACTACTATTTTTGTTCGAAAGTAAATCCTGAAACCAAATTCAACTTCAGATACACAATGTTAACATTAGCAATAATGATTATGGAAAGTTCCTTGACCTATACATAGACAAGAGACTGAACTTCAGCATCCACATACAACACATATGTGAGTGGTGAGAGAGAGAGAAAGAGAGAGAGAGAAAGATAGACAGACAGACAGAGAGAGAGACAGACAGAGAGACAGAGAGAGACAGAGAGAGAGAGTGAGAGAGTATTCACCTAGTTGTGCAGGCGCGGGTTGAGCTCTGCTCATTCGGCCCGCCTCTCAACTGTCAATCAACTATTACTGACTAACTAATTTTTTTTCTCTCGCACACACACACACACACACACACACACACACACACACACACACACACACACACACACACACACACACACACACACAAACAATCGACCGGGTAAACAAGGATAAACTATTCAACACTGGTGGGAAACTGAGTACCCACATGAGCCACAGAGACGTTAAAAGGAACTTTTTCAGTGTCAGAGTAGTTAACGGATAGAATGCATTAGGCAGTGATGTGGTGGAGGCTAACTCCATACACAGTTT